AAAAATATTACAAAAGTTTAATATTTTTTACCTTTTGAAATGTTACAAATTTTAGTTTAATAATGAATAATGTTAAGTACCTGCTATATATGGGGCTGTGTTCTAGGTGCTTTAAAAATACTGTATAATTTAATATTCAGAGTGCAAGATGAGTAGAGGTGCACCCAGGTAACATGACTTGCTCCGTGCTGTGGAGTAACTGAGGAGCAGACCCAACATAACCTTATTTTGGTGATTCTAAAGCCATTGCTATTTTTTCCTTCACACTGTCTTATTTTTCTCCACGTCTAGGAGCATATATCTTGATGTAAGGCAGTTTCTCCTTTTTTTTCATACTCATTGCCCCCTGATGCCCAGTGGCAGAAGGTTTATAGGTTTTCCCAAGGCCAGAGATGGCAATGTGACTGTTCTGCGTCTCCTGTTTTTGCCATAGGAGTACTCAGTTCATTCTTATATTTGCTAAGATGACAACGTTCAGAACACATTTAAGACAAAGGCTACAAAAGAAATTTCATCTCAGTGGCACATATCTGTACCCATGTAACAAATTTGCTGCTAACAGAAGACACCATAGACTCTTGGATCTTGTTAAAGATGGATTACGCCCATTTTATAGTTCTTATTTTGTCTGCATACATCATCTTCCTGTTTTTATTCATGCTAGGAGCACAAATTGACGTTCCCCAGAGGGATGGTAATGTTAGCTTCTGACCACTCTAGTGAGTCTGTACAATGAACATTTTATAGGTGACATGAGGAAGTTAACTGACCGCTATGAGGAGATGCTTGAAATAATGCCATGTTCTTGGCTTTACTTATGACTCTTATGGATTGTGGTAAGGAGTGAGAAGACATTTTCCAAGGCATTCAAAAACTGCTAAACGTCAACATACTTGTGTAGATGAACTTGTGTAAGATTTTGATTTAGGATTCAACTGAGTTATCTAGCTGGGAACTATATTAATAGAAACATTTCTTGTCTCTCAGAATGTGTCTGACTCTCTGCAGGAGCTTATAATCCTTTAAAACACATGGGCATAGAAGTTTCCTCTTCAGCTTTTACCAGAACAATGTAGAATTTGAAGGCGTAGCTTCTAATGCTGGTGTTTCTTTTAAGGTCACAATTCTTCCTCTCTCTCTGCAAGCTTATGTCATCAGAAAACAGTGACAGGAAGATTTAACTGACAGACTTTCTAAGACTGTGAGCAGTATTCTGGGTACGGAGTACCTCTTCTTTCTTCACAACTGCCCTTGGTGAGGCTGATCCAAATACAGAGCAAATGGCTCAGGAATTTGGTAGCCCCCCCAATACAACGCTTTAATATTTTCTGCTTTATCATTTCCTAAGTTTAAAATTATCTTAATGCAATTAAACATTGTTATAATTAGAATTTTCATTAAAGCAAGATTTAAAAACCTGTATTTTGTAGGACTACATCAGTGACTTTCCTTTCATCTTTATCAATTTCTTCTTAGGTGGCTAGTTTATTCTGCATACTTTGAGAAGTTGTAAACTCTCCTAGATCATGTTTGTGATAGGAGCTTGTGTGTTAAATACAACCCACACTCACATATTTTTTGTGTTATACTCTTTGTAATAATGAGCCATCACAACCTATTTTAATTCCAATACTGAGCCCTTTCAGTTATGACAAGGCCATCAACGTTCAAAAAACTGTATTTTTCCTTCTAATTCAGAAGGAAACTGAACATCAGAAGTCACTGTCTTCTCATTAGTGATAAGAAAACCTGCAAAGCACCAAGACACTAGGTTCATACTTTATATAATTTGCTTGTGTTGTGCTCTCCCAGTCAATTTGAAGTTTACCAAAGCACAAAGGTATCACTATGGCTACTCTGCCAACTGAGCCCCTTTTGCCTTAGGCTGATTTAGTATAATATGAATGGTCCCCAGAGTTGGCAGTGAGGTAATTTTTAGGATCTGGCTTTGGGTACTCTTCCTTTGGGAGTGTTCGGAATGTAACAACTGAACACTTGCATATGGACTGAGATTTGGCCTCTGAATTGGCTCTGGGGTCTTTTGGCAGTGGTTGTTGCATAAGTGCAGAACCAATCCCTGAAAGGCAACTTCCCTCTGAATATATCCAGCCTTAATATTACAGTGCCCTCTGGCCCACTTGATAAATTCTTGGGTTTTGGAGCAGGAAAGGAACATCTAGAATCATCTCGTGAATGAACTCCACTTTAGGAATGAATATAAGCAAAAGATTCAGGACTATTTAGCTTTAAACATTTTCACTGGTAACTTGCTTCATCACCCATAGATTCGGCACCCCTTGGAAGGGTAAGATTGACAAATGTGTACCACACAAGTGAAACTGTTTATAACAAAGGCACACCGAATGCCCTACAAGGCCACACTTTTAACTGTAGATGAAGATTTGACAGAGAAGGCAATAGGAGCTGAATTGTCAATGATGAGTCAATATTTACTATATTTACCAGGCAGGTTGGAGATATGTCATCCTGAGCAGAGCCAGCAGCAGTCAGGAAAGAGTGTGGTCACTTTGGAATGTCCTTAGCCTGCTGGAGTGACTAACACATGGGGCTTTATAGGGAGGAGTGGTGAGGAATGGCTGGGTCCTCGTCGTGTGACAGTGTCTTTGGGGACAGCCCATACACAGCTGGACATTCAATTAGGACAAAAGATAGGACTCTGTGAATTATGAGGCTAGCAGAAGATGCTGTAGCCACTCACTTATCAGACAGAATATTCTAGGTCTGGGATCCCCTGAATCATAGTAACTTATATGACATATTTGCGAGAGAAAAAACAAACTCCAAACTGTGGGCTGTGAACTGGGGTGGAACCAATGCTGAAGGACTCTTTAATGTTACTAAGCAGGAGATTTGTGTGATAACGGTGTTTATCATCATTTTAACAGTTCCAACTAGGTTTCACTCATTGACAGATTTATTGAGTATGCAACCTATTGTTGCATAAACAATGCTAGGCATTGTTTTATGCGCAATTTTTAATAGGGTTTCCAATTTTACTTACTGAGAATTTACTACGCACTTGTAGGCAATGGGAATAAAATACAGGACAAAGAGAAAGTCCATAGAGCCTCCAGGCTAGTGGAGGAGACTGCAGTAAACCTGATAGAAGGGCAGGCTATGGTGAACAGACAAGAGTTGGATGGAGGCTGGAAAATCTACAGGCTGAAACCAACTGGGTGTGTAATATCTGAAAGAGCTGGATCTTGGGGATCCATGATCACTGTTCAAAATGTAATGGAAGAGATTCTTCTCACCCAAAAGCAAACAGAACTTGGAATGGAAAAACAAGATGGGAGGAGTATTGATGAGAGAAATTCACGTCACTAGAATGTTGTGAGTTTGAATGTTGAATACCTTTGGCAAAGTGATGTTCTGGGTTTACATGAACTGAACTGGAGGTTTTGGTGAGACATTCCAGTGGAGCTATTTCTTTGTATCAGTGGGGCACAGAGTCACCAGGGGAATGTGACACAAATACAGTGGTCCAGTTCAGGCCCAGTTCCTTCAACTATCCTGGTCTTTCTGTTCTTTACTAACTCACCGGGTGATTCTGACCTTCCAGAGTTTGAGATCACTGGGTTGGATAATCAGAGATAGAAGTAAGGAAAGAACAGTTGAGTTAAGGGCTGAAAATGTATATTTTGGAGCTTTAAAAAAAAGTTGTTAATTAAATCTTAGGGGGATGGGCCAACCTTCCCTGAGGTGGGTAAAAAAGCAAGAAGAAGGAGCCACAGGATAGTGAATGGTTACAGATAAGTTGTTGATGAGAAGGCAAGGACAAGCGTGAAGGAGAAACCCATAAATGATTCAGCAAAAGGGGAAAATGCAGACAGCTGCTTCCCTTTAACCAAAGTGTGAGCTCTATGGAGACAGAGGCCTCAGGGTTACCTTACACCTGGCATGATGCCCAGCACTTAATAGGTATTAATCAATACTTGTTTTTCAAATAAATCAATGTATCCATGAATATCTAACAAGAATTTTTTTTAATTTTCAGTTTCTAAGAAGAATTTTTAGGAGCATGTAAGTAGTAATTTCAAATGCAGTAGCCTGAAGTTAAAGGAGGCTACAACCTAAGGGACTGCTAGTAGATTTAGTCTGAAGGAAGCTGTTGCTATAAAAGAAGTAGGGTAATTATTTTCATGCAGTGAATTTGGGCTCTGTAGACATTGATAACATTTCTTCTGAGCTGTGGTAGCAACAGGATATGTACACATACATACACGTGCATAGGTATACATATGTGTATGTTTGTATGCAGGCAGACGTGTAAAAGGATAGATTTTTGCTCTGGTCTTTATAGTGTCTGTTGGTCTGTTGATGTCCTGTGGCTGCTTATTTTGGTCTGTGAGCCTCTGGGGACAAAGCGTATGGCAGAAGTCTCCCAGGTTGTAGGGGGCTATCTGGGAGGTTGGAACACAGCAAAAGCAATGAGTTGCTAGGAACATGTCCCTAGCAAGCTGAATGCTCCATTTGCCAACTTCAGATTTTCAATGATTGCTTCCAAGAATAGAGATAATATCTAGAGACTACATAAAAATGCACAAACTTATTTTAAGATGTGTCTAAAGCTTTTAAATGCCTACACATATTTCCTTTGAAAGGATAGACCTTTGTGCCTGTTAGTCAGCTCGCTGGGTTCTGCAGGTTTGGAGATGAAACATGCAACTTTTTTTGTATTTGGAAATGTCACACCCAACTGGATTTTAATGAAGATTCATTATGCTTTTCACACTATTAAGCATGGCCATGTGAAAAGGACCTATTACTGCTTATGGACAGGCCCTTGGAGGTGAATGAACATTGATAGAATCTACATTTAACTTTCTTCAGCCATTTTTATTTAGCTGTAAGTTTCTAACGAATGATCTTTCTTGCTCCAAATGCTATTTAATATTGATGATTGGTGTCTGGTGATGGGCCTGAGGTTGTAACTTTAACAGGTGTAAGTATTTCTTTCCTCTGTTTCAGCTGAGAAGTTTTGAGAGTGAAATGTTCACAGCCATTAAGGGATCTGCAATTTAATTTCTCATCATGCTTATTCTGTAGTTCACATTAAGTCCAGAGTACTTAAGGAACTGAACAAGTGCACTCTGGACATCAGATTGTTGACCATGGTGTTAACCATGGCATCTCAGGATGCCCAGAACTTCTTCCAGCCTTTCTCTTCCTGGATATCCCGGGCTTATGAAGCTCTCCAGCAAGTAGGAGATATATTATCTGCTTCACTGGTTCACTTAAGCAGAAAAGACTCTAAATTGAGTGACAAGCTAGACCAGGACTTAGATGATATGCAGATTCAGGAAACTTACTTTGAAGATGAAGAACAAGACAATGATTGGAGGCAAGAGGATGCACATTCCTTGTTTCTTGCAGAGGATCATTTCTCATGTGGTAATAGTGATTTTCAGGACTCTGTCCAACATTCAAGCCCCAGACTTAGCCAACATGCAAAGGACTCATGTTCTATAATATCCCAGTCATCCAGTCAGACGCTGGAGAGCCTGAAGCCCCCACATGTGCTTTCTTCTGTTGCTGAGGAGGAACATCACCTTGAAAAGCAAATATGTGGCCTTCAGCCTGGCTTTGACATTCAGCTCCCTGGCACTTTAGGAAAAGGCAATGGAACAAAGCAAGGTAAGCTAGCCAGTATCATATTTTCTGGGTCCTTCCAAAGAACATTTCTACTTATTTTACTTTGGCTTCTTTTTAGTTATTATAATGCTTTAATTTTTCTCCTCCTTATACTTCCCCTCACCTTCTGGTTGAGACATATAGCTCATAGGAATATTTCCAGTACATAAAACTTTAGAAGACCCATGCTTGCGGGCTCCATTTTCTAAAATAATAGCTTTGAGCAAGTGAAATGCTGAAAATAAATCTGTGAATTCTGCTTGAGAAGCCCCTGTGCACATGTCATGCTTTTCAAAATATCTTTTAAAATGTTCTTTTTTCCCTCTAGGTTAGGAATTTCTAGATGTTACTATATTATTCAGTGTGAAATCCTGTGCAAAAAGCCATGCTCGTTGCAGAATTTTTAGTTGATAACGCTCCAAGAACACTTCTCACAGTGTTTCACCGAGATGTGATGTGAGATGACAGTAGATAGGAAATCTTTGAAACAGGAAAAGCTTTGATTTTCTTTTAGCCTTGCATGATATGGACACATTTAATTAAAGCTGTCTATAAAACTTTATGCTGTCAGAACTGAGCATGTATCAGCCCTTCAGTAAATACATAATGATTATGATGATGAAAATGTACTCTGTAAAAGTAGCTGTCATGTGTTCCAGCATGAATTGCTCATGTTTCTAGTACTCTAACCTGAAGTAAGGGCATGCCGCTTGAGTAAGGCACAGGGGCAGATGCTAAGCAGAGAAGGGGCTTGGCATGTGTCTGATTTGTGGTTGTTATGCATGTATAGCTCACAGAGGGTTGTAGGTCATTATGTGATGTACAAAGTCATTAATTCCTTTCTTGTTGGAGGGAGCAGGCTTTTCTGGAGTACTTCATAGAATTTTCATCAATTTTTAGTCAATCCTCTTAGCTTTGTAATTTTAGAGAAGTATTTTATCTAGATAGGTGAAATCTTGGTATAAGGAAAAATAATTTCATATTTCTTTTAAAGTTTTTTTTCTTTCTTTCTTTTCTCTCTTTCATCTTATATTACCTCACGTGGTACTGGGATCAAACCCAGAGCTTTGTATATGCTAAGCATGTTTTCTTTCTATGTCTCAGCCCCTCATCTTCTTCTTTATAATACTTTCTTGATGCTCTTTCTTACTCAGAATTAAAGTAGCATGGAAATCCTATAATGAATTGGTGAAAATGAGGTAGGCTGATAGTTTTTTATGAACCTGGTAAATTATAGATTTTTGCAATTTTCAGTCTCTGAAAATTATCTGTAGAGATTATTCTAGAAATATTTGGGCTATCAGTGGGTTTTTTTAGGTTTAAATTGAAATTTCTATCTTTATTTTTAAAAATTCTTGCCAAATTTGAAATAAACATGAACTTGGCTTAATAGATGCTTAACACTAGTCTTGTTAATTTTTGTAATTTTGAATGGAAGTAAAATAGTTTGTGCTTATTTGTCCCTTCAGGAGATGTTTGTTTACTGAATTGAAGCTGGAAGGTAGGGACCACACTATCAATTGGTCTCTGCATCCTTAGCAACAGTGCATGCAGTGTTATGCTTATAGTAGGACATCACATAATGATTAATGATGGAACAGGGTCAAGGGAAGCTTACAAGTTGAGAGGTAGATATTGTTATTCTCACATCCTAGTTGAGAAAAAAGATGCCTAAAGAGTTTGAGAACATACCCCAAATCCACATTTGGAAAGAGATTGAGTTTAGGCAGTGTGAGTTTACACACATGCAGACTTTTTCTTTTTCTCTTTTCTAAAAGTATGATTTACATATGATAAAAATCATCCTTAGTGTACAGTTCTATCATTTTTGACAAATAGGCTTGTAATGACTACCATTATTAAAGACTAACTCATTTGCATTATCACAGAAAATTCCCTCACATCCTTCTGTAGTGAGTCCATTTCCCTATCTCCAGTCCCCTGCAAATACTAATACATTTTCTGTCGTTATCCTTTTCACCTTTTTTAGAATGTCATAAAGAAGGAATTATGCAACGTGTAGCTTTTTAACTCTTGCTTCTTTCACTTATTGCCATGTATTTGTGATCCATCTATGTTACTGTGTGCTCCAGGACTTTGCCCTGGGTGAATGCACCAGTTTGTTGATTGATTTATCAGTTTAGGGATTTTTGTGTGTCTTTAGTTTTATTTGGTACCCCAGATCAATATCTATTATTTCTTTTTCTTGACTGATTACATTGGGTAGGACCTCTGTTGATGTTAAGGGTGGTAAAAATGGATATCTCTGCCTTGATCCTGAACTTAGTGTAAAGCCTTTCAGTCTTTTATTATTACGTAGTGCTTAGGCAGAGGCATAAATATTTTTATATGTTCAAAGGTTTCCTGCTATTCCAGTTTGCTGAGAACTTTTATCAAAAAAAGAATATTGAATTTGGTTAAATATTCTACATCTATGGAGAGTATCAAATGATGTTTCTTGTTTAATATGTTGCAGTGAATTACAGTAATTTATTTCTAGATATTGATGCTTAATATAGCTTAATATAGTTTGCATAAAATCTACTAGGTCATGATATATTATTATTTTCCTATACTGCTTAATTTAATTTGATAGTGTTTTGTTGAAGATTTTAAAAATGTATTATCATTAGGGAAATTGATCTGTAGTTTTCTTGTTATGTCTTTATCTGGTTTTGGTATCTGGAAAATGCTGACTTTATAAAATGAGTTATGAAATATTTTTCCTTTCCTATAGTCTAGACAAAATTTGTATAGAATTATTATTATTTTAAATATTTGTTAGAATTTCTCAGCAAAGCCTGAATTTTCTCATGGAAAGGTTTTAAAATACAAATTTGTATACATACCATTTCCTTTCTGCCTTATGTTTTCTTTCCAGTACTGGGATTAGACCCAGGGCCTTCATGCTGAGCCACATACCCAGTCCTTTTACATTCTTTTGTTTTATTTTGAGACTGGGCCTTCATGTTTTTGCTAAGTATCCTGACATGGACTCAAACTTATGAGCCTCCTACCTCAGCTTCCCAGAGAGCCTTTCTACTCTTTTAATGTTTGTAGGATTTCTATTGATTTCTCCCTTTATTTCTTAATATTATTATTTGTCTTTTTTCCCCAGATTCATTTGGATAGAATGTTGACTGTCAATCTGTCTATCTGCCTATTTTCCCCCTGCCAAAGAATTAGTTCTTATTTTCATTAATTTTAAAATCTATTTTTGTTATTAATTTGATTGATTTTTGTTATCATTATTATTTTAGTAAATGTACTGCTGAAGTGAGCACATCAATATTATTTTCTTCTTGCTTTGGGTATAATTTGTTCTTGCTTTTCTAATATAATTTAATGTATAAAATTTCCTGTAAGCAGTAATTTACTTGCAGCTGACAAATATTAATGTATTGTGTTTTTATTTTCATTTACTTAAAATATTTTATAATTTCTCTTTTGACTTCAGTTTTCTTATATAGCCTATTTCAAAGTGTGTTTTAAGTTCCATATATTGCGAGGCCTTTAGATATTTTTCTGTGATTGGTTTCTAGCTTGATTCCATTATGGTCTGCTCACGTTATACTAGTTTAGTTTTGAAAATTAATTACGGTTTGTTCTGTTGCACTGAATATGTTTTGACATGTTAAATGTTTCATGTGTACTTGAAAAGATTGTGTGTTCTACTGGGTCAGAATATTCTGTAAATGTAAATTCAGGTTATTTTTCAGGTTTTCTAATGCTTACCTATTTTGTCTATTGAGTTTAGCCTTCTGATTTTATTTATTATTTATTTATTTTTTTGCTTACATTCTTTTATTGGTACATTTTAGGTATGCAATACGTTTACATTTATCATTGGGTGCTTGTACCTCTACATGATGTATCTTGGTTCTTATTTTTTCCCATTACCTGTGCACCCTTCACCCCTCCACGCTTTCCTATTTACATAGACTTCGTTTCCATTTTTTTTGCTTTTCTCATAATATTTTCTTTCCATTCTTTCCTTTCCCCATCTCCTCCCACCACCCCTACCCCTTTGGACCTTTTCCTATTTCAAAGTGTCAGTTATTAGTTATTAATCCTTTTAGTCTTTATTTACATTCTCAGTTTCTCACACTAGAGAAACTATTCAGTATTTACACATGTGTGTCCTATTTATTTCTCTTAAGAGTATGGCCTCAATATGCATCTGTTTAGCTATAAATGACTCTAGTTTCTCTTCTTTATCCTTCTGATTTTATTCTATTGATTACTGCTAAAGGAGTATTAGAGTCTTAAACTTTAATTGTAGATTTGGCTATTACTCTTCTTTCATTTCTAACATTTTTTTGCTTAAAATAGTTTGAAGCTCTGTTGTTAAGTCCATATATATTTTAGAAATATATGTTGTCTTAATGTTTTGACCTCTTTGTTATTGTGTAATATAGTGCTTAATCTCTATTAGTATTTCTTGTCCTGAGATATACTCTGATTTTAATATAGCTACTCTAGCTTTCTTTGATTAGTGTTGGCATAATATATTCTTTTCCATTCTTTAGCTTTACATTATTTTATATTTATGGTGAGTTTTTGTACATAGTGTAGAATTAGGTCTTATTTTTTAATCCAGTCTGACAATCTTTCACTTTTAATGTGTTTTAACTGTATGCATTCAATGTAATAACTGATATTATTTCATTAAAATCTATAATCTTGCTAGATGTTTCTATTTGTTCCATTTACTTTTTAAATCTTTGTCCTAACTTTTCTCCTTTCTTTTGGATTTAGTGTCTTTATACTTGTACTTCATACCCACCCTGGGCTCATTTTAAAAACTGTTCAAAAGTCATCCTTAGATTTCAATATAAGTCTTTATTTAATTATAATCTATCTTGAAGTAATATTGTAGTACTTCATATGTAATGTAATGGTGTTGTTACAAGAGTCTACTCTGTCTTTCCTTCATATCCTTTGTTTTATTAATGCTATATTTTATTTTTATGCATAAACACATAATACAATGATACTAGTTT